CCCGCTTACTGAAGCAATTTCTGCTCAGAGATTGGCTGTATTGATTGACCTGGCCTGGTGATACAAAAATCAAAGATGTTTTAGTTTTCTATTTTCACTTTACTTCATCTTCTTTACTGATCTATTCATCCAAAATGTAGTTGTTATCAGACTGGTCTGCCCAGAGTACCTAAGCAGAAACCACAATCAGTATATCTGATTGGCTGGTGCAAAGCAGATGGAATTTCCTTGGCTATGTAACTTTAATTAAAATATCTCCTAAGCTCAACTGAAAAACTGAGGCTACATTTCACATTTCAAATGTTACACAGCAGCTGAAAACAGTCTCTCAAGTATTTTGTAGTCATATTCCTCACAGTGAAATTTGTCTATGGCAAATATTTTTGCATTTTATCTGTTACAATTATAAACAGAAACCCATTTCCTTTTTTCTGCAGTAGTACAACAAAGCACATCTTACCTCAGTTAACATTATCAGGCCAATGAAGTATGACACAATGGAAAGGCTGAGAATCAACAGTTCTCTTCTGTAGCCCCTTCGGAAAATCTTTGGGTACATATCTACAACAGCTGTCACAAGGCTTTCAACACACACAAACTAGAACAAATGATAGGAAAGTGCAAATGAAATGTGTCTCATCTGCTGTTCAGTTTGGATTTGCTACCAAACACTTCAAATATCCTTATATGTTCTCATCATAGAGACTGAATGATCCCTGAGGACACCGTATAAGCAGAAGCTCAAACTGAGAGGAACATAATTTCAGAATTAAAAGATCCAAAGCTATGGATTTCCAGTCCACCACCAAATTCAAATAGTTGAATCCACTAATATTACCTCAGAATATATTTGCCCTGTAGCAGATGCATTATGTAAAAGTTAGATCTTTCAAATGTAGCTTGAATGGGACTTAAATAATGTACAAACCGTTCATAGGACTGCAGCAGAATTTCACTCTATGCATGCTGCACTTTTGTCACCCAAAGGAATGCTATGCAGCAGGTTTTTTGTAGAAGTTCTCTCCATTTTACGGAAAACAGAAGTTCCACAGAGTTGTTAAGTGCCCAAGCCAAGTACTTCTAATGAAGGAGGGAAGGAACATTCTTACTAACTTAAGAAATCAGCAGACAGCAAGAGGCCCGAGCTTCTGACTCAGGGCTCTAAAGTGAGGTTTCTAAAATAGGCACTAAAATTAATGCCCAAAATTAGACAATATAAAGCCTGCTCATTGGAACAGTCAAGAGTAGAATCCAGGAACTGCTTGTTTTAACAAAGGCTTTAAAAAAAAAAAATGTTAGAGCAGGAAAAACAGTAGTTATTAAAACATTAATTTTAATGATTGGAAGTGTCATGCAAAATAAGCACTGAGGAGCTTTATTCTACAGTATACAATCATAAACTTTCTGAACAAAATCATGCTGAGAGCTGAGCTACATGCTAAAGATACCAGCTACTTTACATTTTTCATCAAACAGCTTTCACAATTTTTATGGTCACATAGGAAGGACAGCTTCTATGCTGTCACTTTGCTGCAGAATATGACTATGCATTTCTTGCTATGGTATCTGGAAGTATAAATACACCACAGGAACTTACATTATCACTATCTGATATTCAGTTTCAAAATTCATTGCAAAGTGCTTTAAAAATTGGAAGACACACTGGTATTTTACTGCACTGTGAATTTTAATCACCCATATTTAAGTTCAAACTGATTTCCATGTTAATAAAGAAAGCTATAGTCATGCTGAATCAGTGTTCACTGTAAATCATAAAGGAATCTCCAGCATCACACAACTAAGATTTCAAATAGGAAACTTGGATCACTGGTTTTAAGCAAGGAATTAAATTAGGGTTCATTCTTCCATCAGGTTAGATGCTGTTTACATCAAGGATGCTGATATACACATGCTAGGGAATCTGACAAAATATTTAAATAGCTTTTGTTTCATACCTGACTATCTAATCCAAGGAATATGAGCATCATGAAGAACAGAGTTGCCCACAAAGGAGAAAGAGGCATCATGGTAACAGCTTTAGGGTAAGCAATGAATGCAAGTCCTGGTCCTGAAAAGGAAGACAAGAAAGGAAATATTGATACTTGTGTACTGGGTCTGGCTGAGATAGAGTTAACTTTCTTCATAACAGCCTGTACAGTGCTGTGTTTTGGATTTGTGGATAGAACAGCATTGCTAACACCAACATTGTGGCTATTGCTGAACAGTGCTTGCACAGCATCTCTTATTAAACCATTTCTATCTGGACCCCTGAGTTTTCTCACTTTTTTTGTTCCTGTTCCCTTCCCCATCCCACTGGGGTGGGCAAGTGAGTGAACAGCAGTGTGGATGCTTAGCTTCTGGCGAGGGTCAACCCACCACAACTTGATTGTTCTTTTATGGCAGATAAGAGGAGCTAAATACAAGGATGAAAACCTTGACAAACCCTACATCTCTAATAGTCTAAATATTTGGTGATGAGGCTAATCAGTAATGAAGACTTGCTTGGCACATCAACTCTGTCCAAATGTTTGAAGGTCAAGACTTCTGCTAAGACATCACTGTACTTTACGTTCTCCTTCTTCTTTGTGTGGATGTACAGCAAGACTTGCATACCTGAATAAATAATATTGTGTGGTCCTATGATTGCCTTATATAACTTATTAACATACTCTGGATTTTTTTTTTCCTAAGACAGCACCATATCTGACATTTTGTGCAAGAATGTGGTCAATGGTAAGAGCTGCATCTTGGAAGCCATACATGTTGCAAGCCGAATGTCTACTGGTTTGTTCAAAATCTGCTCTGCGTTTTTGAGTGCTGCTGCTGATACATAACATCAATTCATTGGCTGCATATTTACAGAAATCTTTAAAATCGAACATTTTTGCAACAGCACTGGTAACTTCTCAGATCTGTTAAAGTTGAATTTGGTTCTATGCACAATAACATTAATATTTTTCACACATAAATGTATGACCATTCTAATGAGTCAGGTAACAGGTTTTTAAGAGGAGTTTTGTAAAACTATCTGCAAATCAGTCAACTTTTCCATAAGATAATGGCACAGACAAAGTATTCTGACAGCAACCTCTAGGCATTTTTTGTTAACTCAGAAAACTGCTTTCAGAACCTACCTGATTCTGCAACTTCTGCAATGGGCACGCCTTGTTCATAAGCCATAAATCCAAGAACTGAAAAGATAGCAAAACCAGCAACAAAGCTTGTGCCACTGTTCAAGCAGCAGAGCATGATGCAGTCTCTGAAAATATAAATAAAAAACACTGCAGTTGATCTCCAGAGCCTGGGTTTCTTTCATATACTGAGCCATAGGACTAACAGAACCCCAAGCTGCAGGAATGGACATCAAGTTGCTCATGAAGAGTAAACTCCCAACTGATACTGTGCCTGAGAGAAATCAGTCAGGCATAAGCATTTGCAGAAAGATACCATCATAATACCCTTGCTTGTGTTTTAACTGATTGAATTGCAAACCTGTTGCTACTCACTTACTGGTTTTCGATAGAATCTTTAAAAAACATGTAAAAATATTGCAAGAATGGTATTAAGAACAATTTTTCTACAGTATTTGTAATAATGTATTCCAGAGAATATGAAATAATTTATAAACTATATAAAAATGGTAGTAATTTCCTGGAAAAACATCCGATGGTCAGATCTTAGCTAATGCTATTCCAGTTACAGTATATTGGCAATGTATATATATCTCCATACAAAATACAACTCCACTTTGGATTATAAACTTTTTTTAAGAAGCTGTGGTAATGAAAATCACCATACATAATCTAATAAGCGTGTATATGCCTAAAAATGTGCCTAACAAGTAGGCAAAGACAGTGCAGGGACACTGATCTCAGACCTGTGTATCCATCAAACAATGACAACTACAAGGACAAGGTGAAGAAATATTCCTTTTCCCAGACTGGAAATGTCACAATAGTAAATCACTGTTAAAAAGGGAAAATCCTCTTGCAGAAAGGTGCGATCTTTCCCCAGAGCTCCGTGAAATATCGTTGTTCATCCTGCTTTCAGAGAGCACTTCAGGCTTGACAGGTGATGAGGTAGGAATGATTTATCATGACAGCCAGTCTTTTAAGTTTGCTACAAGAGACAGCTGTGTACTTGAGAAAGTAATAATCTAACCTAGATGCCTGAAAGTAAATTAGGATTCTAAAACACTGAAACACAAGGCAAGCCTTTAGCTCTGTCAAGCCTATACCTTAGTCTGGTTTATTCCCATCCTACTACAGCTCTGAAGCAAGTTTTTGTGCAAGCTATCTATGAGAAGAAATGACCCTGTAAAATCTAACAGGTTCTGAATCCACATCTTCAATCATTCCCATCTTTGTCACAGATTTGTAGTGACTTTTTAAGAATCAGAGACAGTTCATATTTCTGAAGTTCTGGCATATTTTCAAGCAAAACTTCTTTGGTAATCTCTCTGTCCTGTTGCTTGTTTCATTTGCTATTTTTATCCTGTAACTTTATCTCATCAGTTTATCAAGTTGAAAGTGAGGTGATCAGTTCCAGTATCTTATTCCTTCACCAGTGAGCATCCCACATCTGTTCAAAGCTCTTGCTGTTACTGACTTTGATCCACCTAACCTGCTAACATCAGCCACATACATACTAAATGGCAGGAAGCAGGCATACATTTCAATACTGCAAAGTGAGTGATCAGCTGAACTACACCATTGGGCCATGGGAGGCTTTGGTGCTCTCTCATCATCGGCAGTTAATTTTAACCATTATTTTGAGAATGTTTTTATGTTTTCATAATAATTTCATAGTAAAAAAAATCTATATGGCATATCATCTATAAATTGCCAAAATTTGTCCAGAAATGAAAAGAATGAATACTGCCATTTGTAGATCAAGACAACATGGAGAACTCCAGTGATGTTCACACTTCTTTCATGCGTGGACTTTCTCTAACACTTTCTTCATTAGCAGGGGTAAATAGGTCCTTTAAAATACTTTCTGAAAATTCTGAAAATGATCAGAATTCTAACCTGGTTTTTGTTTGCTTTTCATATGAAATTGCTTCCTGTAGTTATGTGCAGCCAGGCTAGTTATATGCTTTGGAAGTTTTAAAGCAAAATTGCAATCTAAAAGAAAGCAGCCAGGAGCACAGAGTTCTTTGTGCTTTGCAGACAAATAAAACAAAGAAAAAGATCATCTTCCTAACCATCCTTCTCAGTGTATTTCAGGACTGAAGTAGGTCTGGAGAGATTCTCACCACAATCTCACCTAAGAAACTGGTGAGTTCAATGCTGAGAAATTAATACTAAGTGTGATAAAACTCTGTCAATAGGAGATGTCAGAAAGATGTATTTTTTAATCCTTTGGCAGAAAAAAAAGAAATACTACTTCAGTGGGATGGATCTGACTGCTCAGCAGTCATATGATGCCTCCATTTGGAACAGCCTGTTTTCTGCAGAATGATGTGGCACAGGGCATTTGAGAGCTGCTAGTTCCTAACGATGCAAAAAAGGGTTGAGGTGGAGACACATTGCTCCCTGTGCACCTTCAGAGGCCCTGGCAGTTTCTGCTGCTCCCTCTTGAGGGGAGGTCCTAGGGCAAGGCCCAAGTGCTGTAAGCTGGACAATCCTATGTAACTAGATCATCTGTGAGAGAACAAGAGGAGCACAGAGATTTCTCCACTCACAGGGAAGCCCTATGAACCACAGTGCCATGGTACAAAACAGTTACAGGGTAGATAGGCATTTCTTCAAGGAAATGGGCAAAAGTGAACCTAAGGGGATTTTCATCATCTCCAGTTAGTGAGGTACCTATTCTTTTGACATAACACAGCCACAGCTCCATCATTTTCTTCCCCAGTTAGACAGTCACAGACTGAACACTCGGTTCTCTGGGGACCTAGCACTCTTTCCTGTCCTAATAAAAATATAACCTCCAATTTTAATTTCCATCCTTCCTTTGTCTTTGCAGGTATTCTACTAACCCCTCAACTCCTGTTTTTTTCCCTTAGATAGAAGTGTGTAACCTGTAGTTCAGTCTTTTTTTCTGCTACGGGAAGGAAAACTGAGAGGGGATCTGGATCCATTGACTGTGAAAACAATGAATTTTAAAACACAAATGCCCAAGAGCCGTTGGAAGGAGAACATGAAGTTTATCGAATTTTCCATCTATTTTTTATAAGCATCCTTCGTAGGAAAGCATCAGAGCCTTACTGAAGCCCAAACTGATTTCAAATTAAAGGAAAACTTCAAATTTTTATGAAAACTTCACGTTCTTCCAAATTAATGTCTTGCCAATCACCTGAATAATTCAAGACATGAATCCCTTACCCTCTCCCTGCCTGAGAGGCAGGATACTGCTGAAAATTGATTCTGCATTCCTGAAGGAGCTTCTCTGTTTAGAGAGAAGAGCCCACAGAGCCTTTTGTGTCCCTCCAGTTACTTCCTTGCCTTTATGGATCCCCTCAACACCAACTTCAATTCCTCTCCTCCTCTTAGACTAGAAGCTTGATAAAGGACACATCTTCATTTCTTAAAAGTTTTGTCTGTTTGTTGACAGTGTGTGAAATCACTCATTTATCTTCACACCACAGTGGCAACATAGCAACTAACCCCTGATTTGTACATGGGGCTCATACATAAAAATTGTCCTGCTGAGGTGCAGCCTCCAGTACAAAGGAGTGGTGCTGTGAAACCGAATGGTGTTTCCCCTGGTGGGGAACAGTGTCCAGCGGGGAGCTGGATCAGTTCTGCCAATACAGAGCACATGAAGCAGGGGCAAGAACATTTTCCTCTTCTGTCTCCTGAGGCTGTCTGAAGTTAATCCATTCCTTAAGAAGGTCTGAATGGATTAGGAATTCTTAGCTTGCTAAAAATTAGAGGAAACATCAGTACACCTTTCTTTTATTTATATGGGGAAAACGTTGCCTGCTGATAGTACTGCCATTACTTTCATCTTTTCAGAAGAGTCACTTTTGATATAAACTGTTGTAAATCCAGGGAGGATCTGTATTAATGTATTACAATGAAAGGTAAGTAAGGACAACAAAAATTCATTTCCTATTCAAAGACGTGAAGTGACTTGTTTGCAATTCATTTACAATTTAATGAATTAGATCAGGTAGCTAATAAGAAAAACCCACGTGTGGTTTAGATTTTCCCATTCCCACTGAAATACCTCATGTCATTATTTTCCAATGCAACTATCCCTTAGAAAAAAAAAGTTTAGTAAAACAGAGTGCAAAAAGTGTCAAAGTAGATGTTACAATCAGACAATACACTACGGGTATTGCAAGAGGCAAATCCATAGCTTGATTTTAATTTTTTTAAGTACTAGTTACAATACAAATTTAATTCTGCTTTCCACTGCATAGCTGCTTTGTATGTCTTGCTCTGTTAACCGCCCTGTTTAACTCAGCTGCTTTCTGCAGTTAACTTCTGTCCTGCTACTTTCCTCAGATTTCTTAAGAATCATACTTTGGGACACAATAAAATCTGTCCTATTCAGGAAATCTGTGAAAACATTTTGTTCTAGGAATTGTGAAGCTTGGATTCAGTAAAAAGTATTCTGTTTGCAGCGTCTTGCTCAGGAGCTTTAAAAGAGAGCTGCTGATGGTTTTTACTGCTAGGGTCAGAGGAAAGGAAGGGAAATTACATAAGCTCTCTGATCACACATCAAAACTCCTGCTTTTTGTAATGAGTTACAAAACCATAATAAAAAGATTACTGCAGTCCTTGAGGAAGTGACAGAATAGTTTCTAGATGGGATGCAACTGGAAAGAAATAAAAATAAAATTAAGAGAGAAAAGGAGTAGCGTCTTTGTTAAAGCATCACTTATGCTAATTAGGGAAAACTTTCATTACCAGTTCTGTAGGGGCATTTTTTACCCTCCGTTGGGGCATCTTTATCATTATTCTGAAAATAATGTCAATCAGCACTGAAGACTGTAGGGGATTTACACTACTTTATGCAGCAAAACATTTGGAATTTTGGCTGTCATAGCCAAGCAAAGAGTCACTTATGTTGCTGCTAAGTTACTTTGCATGTGTAGATGGCAAAGTACCCTTAACTGCTGCTGGATAGCTTTGCAGATGTTCAGCTGGTGAATACATTCATGTCTCTGTCCCAATTCCCTCTCTGTCTGGAGGGTCCTACTCTTTGGTGTTTCTCTGACAGAAGAGCAAATTGTTGCTAAGACACTGAAAGAGTAAGGCACTTCCTAAAATTGTCTCCTGAACTCTCTAAGTAAAACTGTCATTTAGAATTTAAATACTTACACTTTGGGGGCTTTGGGGGTGGTGTGTTTGGGGTTCTTCTGCTTTTGCTTTTGGACTGTATTATTTCCTTTATAGAAAAATTAAATTTTAATTCTCTGTCTGGAGATCGTAATGGAGTCAGTACCATCAAACTGTCATTTACTGTCTTGTATTAAAGGTTGTTGAATAGTAGGAAAACTAATTCAATAACTACTGATGCCAGAAGAAAAAAGTAGTGCTCATATTCCTGCCCATGCTAGTAAAATGGAATGAGGATTTTGGGTGAGTCATATCCTTTTGACATTGATTCAGGAAAGATTAAAACCTACTGTAGTCATTAGCAATTTCCCTACTGATTTCTATAAAGATAAGCAATGAAATGCTATCCATGTCTACTGTGCTCTAGCTAGGAGACAGTAAACTATGGGAAAAAGTAACATTCAAAGCATAGACCAAATTCACGCGAGTTTTAATAACAAATTTTTGTAGGATTTTTTTTTAAAGCAGATATACGTTATACAAACAAATATTGCACACACATGCAATTATACATGTATGAAATTCTGTATATTGTACATGCAATTGTGTATACCTGTGTGTACTGAGTGGCTTGTGGCTGTGCAAGGGTCAGATATGATCAAAAGGGATGAAAATACCAAATTTTGGAAAAGAGTTCCTCTGAAACAACTACAAGAAACGTTATAGATCTCTGTTCTACAAAAACATGTTCATGTGCTTATGATTAGTCATGCAAATAGGTAAAGGAAAATTCTGAGTGAAACTAAGTATGTGGACACTTCCATCACTGAAACTAAATGTGAAAATAAAGCATGGAAGATATTACCTGTAGCAGTTGTTATTATAGTTGTTGTAACTTCCCAGGGCTGTCAAGCACCCCAAGCAGATCGCATAAGAGAAAAAGATCTGTGTGCCAGCATCCACCCACACCTGAAGACAAAAAAAATGGAGTGGTTATAAAAGGTCAAGAAGGAATCACCTTTATGGATATATTGACTGCATATTTGCAGAGGCAACTGTACAGGGTAATAGGGTAATAGTATCTGGCAAACCTTTTGTAAGTCACAACCTCAAAAAAAAAAAAAAAAGCTTTGAGTTAAATTTCCCTCTCCTTCCCAGTGGTATAAACAGGGAGTAACTCAGCTGGTCTTTACAGGTTCAACCTAATCTAAGTAGAGAGAGAGACAGAATTTCTGAAGAACCTCACCCAGTATAAATTCTTTAATGGTTTTCTTAAGGTGTTAGTAATTGCAACCTAAATAGAATCATCTGCATTTATGTCATTCTCATTTGATAATTACTTATTCAAATTTAAAAATTCAGTGTGAAAAAAATACTCTAGATAATATACAAATTAAGCTGGGGAAAGAGAAAAGACAGCTTTTCAACCCCTTAAAAGGGGTTTTAGCAATATTTGATGGCCCCAATAAGGCACGAGGACATGGCTGTTCTGGTCATGGTACAATTAACAAATAAAAGTTCTGTAGAGCTTAACAAGTAAGTAGCTTTATAATATCATTATGGTAACGTTGATATCATGCATACCTAAAGTGATGCAAATACTAAATTCTAAATCAGAGAAAACAAAAAAAAGGAAGCAAGAGCTGACACAGTGAGACTATTCTCCTCACAGCAATCTCAGAACATTAATATAACATGCAATTTTTTTCATTTTAAAAATACTCCAACAGAACAGTTCATTTCATTTGAAAAGAGTCTAGGTGTGTTATTACTCGAGGTGAATATATACTCTTTTAACCCCTGATTTTGCCATGAGAGCAATGTGAAGAACCCCCATCTACACAGCTGTACTATTATTTACAATCCAATAAATTCTGACTCTTGGTTTCCTGGGATAAGTGAGCTCTGTAAGATTTTTTTTTTTAAAGCAGAGCAGCCAAAGTGCTTTTCAGAGAAGTAACAAAACACTGACTGATAACCAGAGGCAATAGCTGTGTAGCCATTAGCTACTCTAAGTTTGAGACAGGAAAGAGGTAATGCAGGTAATGATTTCAAGACTAATAACAGCAATACTAATAACAGTAATCAAATACTCATAAAAATATGAAGGGGATGTATTTGTTTTACATGTGATTGAGACCTTGGTTTCTGGAGTTGCTGAGAGTGTTTCTGTTTAGGAATAACATTAAGATCACATTTGATTTGCATCAATGGCTTAAATGGTTTCATTGCTGTCATACTGAATAAGATACAGCTGGTTACATCTCAAAGTTTCACCACTTGGTAAGAAAAAACTGCACAGAGAAAGCCTTTTGACAGACAGGCTCTTTAACAAGATTGGAAGCTCCCAAAAAGCTGTAAGTAGCTTAGGTCAACTGAAAATGCACGGTCTTCTTAAGCATAAACAAAAGCTAGGAAACTGGATCAGCACATGTAGAATCTGCTGTTTCCTTCCATTTCAGTTTTTGCACAATGTATTGTTGAAGTGCCTTGTATAGCACTTAGATGAGCAATAGCCTTTCCTGTTGGCATGTGCCAGCTCCACAGAAGTCTAATTATTCCTTGGACAACAAGTCCTAGTGGAAATGGGGGCAAAGAAGAATTGTACTCTGAAGTGAGAACCTCCAGGGCTGCTTGAGGAGCAGAGAGCACATCCCTCTGGAGGTCCTGTGTACCTAGACTGAAAATCTATCTTGTAGATACCACTCACAAATCCAGGTGTCATCCATCTGGCTTATGGCAACACAAGCATTATAAATTATTTCTAAGAGTGCTGATTTTGCAATGTCTGGCTTAGACTAGAAGTTGTAACATTTTTCAAGTACATGGAATGAATGTAGCACGATTGTGCAGAACAATGAAATTCTGAAGGACAGAGACAAAGAAAACACTGCCAATAAGCTGCAAACCAAGTGTTCTGGAGCCAGCAGCTGGTGAAAGGCTGGCACAAAAGGAGTAAATTTTTTCTGAAATGAAACAGGGTTTGATGCGTTTCTGGTATGAATAAATTCCAGAGGAAAGAACCTGTACCAGAGAGTATCCTGTTCACTCTTTATAAACTTTGTACCTTGAAAAACCTTTGGGTAGTGATAATTAAATCAATTCAGCTGTATGCATTCATAAATTCGGGGATTTAAAATGTTTTATAGTCGTCTATTAGCCCCTACTTTAAAAGATGGAACTAAGTGTTTCTTCTTTTTTTCAGCTCATATTTAAAATGTTTCCATGCGAAAACAAGATTAAAATTAAAGCACAAAACCTTTGTTTATTATACCTTAATATTTAAAAAACCCAAATGCCACAGGACAGAACCTTTATATCTACTGTGCTCACATTTTTGCACCCACATTACAGCCATTTCCTAGACATGCTAGGCCTAGCACTACATTAGCGACAGTACGGGCAAACTAGAAGAATGCAAATGCCAGTTCAGAATACAGCAGCACAGCTATTGCTCTGACTCCAGTACAGAAATAATGCTTGCTGGCTAGGAAGAAGGGGCTGTTCAATGAGCCCATGCGTTGAAACTCTGTTCCCAAAGGGAGAAGGCAAAGTAAACAAGGCTCAACTCTATGGCACTACTTGCTTTCTCCAAGTAGAAATGAGGCATGACAGTGAGAGATTGTGAGTCTCTCCACTTTCAATTTTCTGAGTGGGAAGGGAAACAGCAGAGCTGTCTGTGCCCTGATCCCCATTCTGAGGCTTTCTCACACTTCACTTTACAGCTTTCCCGATTCACACCATTAGCTCACAAGCAGCGGTCTCTGCTGTGTCCTGCTGATAACTAACTTATATTGGTACAAACACAATTCCACAAAACTGAATAAACCAGAACGTTGTTTACTAAATATGGAAAGCGCTGTTTTGCAAAGTCCATCTCTCAAAAGCTAGCAATACCCAGATATTAAGCCTGCCTGGGTAATCTTAATTTGGCCTTCTTGTGTGTAGGTCTAGGACACAATCTTCATTTACAGCACTATTCATCTTTCTGCCCAGGGAGATGAATTGAGCTAGTCAAACAGAGGATCCTGTTGGCTGGAAGATCCCTTGACTCTTTTGTTGCCATGATTGTAGCACATGTAATGAATGAAGAAGGATAAAGAGGAAGAAGGGGGATGTGCTGTAGTGAAGACAACAGAATACTGCTCTGGAGAATTAGATTCTTTTCATGTCTCTGCTATAAAGTTTCTATGTGACATTATGTCCATAAATCTCTTAAGCCAACCCTTTCTCTAAAGTTCATTAACTGGGTAGTCCTCATTTAATGGGTGTCCACAGTGAAGTACAAAATTACTGAGCATTCACTGTTGCAACTAAAGTGAATGAAAGCCATGTATGGAACGAGTCAAAAAAACAGTATAAAAAGCCAGGTCTACCAACTTCAAACTGAAAATACCAAAATGACTGACACCATCTCATTTTAGTCTCACTTTACATCTCTTTACATCAGTAAGATGGGGTCATGCCATATATTGAAAAAAAAAAAAGAAAACCTGAGGTTTATGAAGCACATGGACAGTGCAGAAATAAGTCACTTTGAAAGGCTGAGCCGTTTTTTTGTGATGATCGAGGTCTGAATGATATGCAGTATATTTACAAGGCCAAGCAATGAGTGAAAAGGATAAAGCAAAATATTGCATAACTGTCCTGAAATGAGCTTAGTTGATGCTGTAGCTGGATAAAGCAGAGACCTTGGGGAAAACCTGTTATATGTTGACGTTTATTCTTTCCATAACGCATGGAATGAAAATGAACATTGCTCACCTGAAGGACTATCATTAAATTCCAGGTTTTTCCCTAACTTTCTACCTTCCCTTTACTTTCTGTACTCTCTGTATAGATACAGTACAGAATTACAGAAAATGTAAGTATACAATTTAGACAGCTAGGCAGACAATACATCCGTATATAGAATCACTACTGCCGTGTCTCAGTACTTACTGCTGCCTTACAAGAAATGTGCAGCACATATTGTGACAGCCTCATGTAACATGTACGGCTATGCGTTACATGTGATTTGCATTCAGCAGACTCACAGTGCAAGCACAGCAAGCTCCTAACTGCTTCAGAGCACAAGTCATGTGAACTCATGTCTTCCCAAACAGGTCTGCACAGGTATACTAACATATTCCCTATGCTGGGATAGGGAAAGCTCAGAGATCAGGATCTATGGGGATTCCTGCAGCAGCCTCTCTCAGGAGGGAGCCCTTGCCACCTTTAGTCAGTATCATTTCCACATATCAAAATAATTGAGAGAATGTTCTTCACCACTTAAGGCCACACCTCATTCCAAAAGTCCTTTACTGCTCTTAAAGCAAACACTACTATGCAGCTATTAATGGAATTGTCCTGTTACTGCAGGAAACATCTCCCAGGATAAACTGACTTTAACTGGCACTTCCACAAACTTCTAGAATCATGACAAACAGCTGAATGTAACTCAAAAGGTGTAAAATTGTTTCATGTCTGGGGAACATGGGAAAATTAAGTAGTTATTTTCAGTCTGATCCTCTTAAAAGATATGTAGTTTTAAAATAATATATTATGTTGTCACCGGAAAAGCTTCATTTTACACCTCAGCTAGGAAGCTATTAACGAAATTTTACTATTCTGTCTCATTGTGCATGTCTCTGCATATTAATCTAGAGGAAAATGCAAGATGCCTAAAATGAACGTTGAGGACATTTTGAGCAGAAATGGGAGGGGTTTGTTAAAAATGTGATACTCGGAAATAATGTTCATGGCAGGTTATATGTTCAAAACCACAGCCAGGCATCTCACACCTCAGTGCCTGGGCCCTGGAGGAAGACAGGACCTGGTCAGCCTACATTGCCTCTGCCTGTGAGGATCAAGTCTGTGGGCTGGGTAGACAAGCTCTTGGGATAAACACCAGTTTATGGTTTAATTTTTCAGTCCGTTGCTCAAATAATGGTAAAAATGGGAAAAGCAAATGAAAGAGAATATGATTT